GCTCTGCCTCTGGGTTATCTCTGGAGTGTCTCCTGTCAGATTTGTCGCCTGAGACAATGCAGCTTAATTACAACTCAATCAGCACGCTTCAAGGATTTAAGGCAAACTTCACAGGAGCTGAAGGGTTAGGGGATGTTGCTGTCCCTCATGGCACCTGAGCTGGAGCTGCTGAGCCTCCCCCAGGTGCAGCACTGGGAGGCGTAGCTCAGGACAGGTTCCTTCTGCTACCATCAAGCAAAGCTCTGCAGGCATCCCTCACTGCAGCTCCTCCAGGCTCAGGGCAGCACTCGTGCTGACTGAAGCCTCAGTTCTGGGTATTCACTGCTGCAGGAATGTTTAAATTTTATAGGAGGTATTTCTCACCTCCCTCCCTCTCTTAAGCCAGGTACTGCTGCCCCTCTGACTCCTGGTGCATTTGCTCAGAAAGAATGGGCTGGACCACAGACACCTGAACATAACCTCAAAGAGCTCCTTCTGTGCTCGGCAGTGCCTGAGGTGCTCGAGCCTGGCCGTAGCTTGCACTGAAGTTGCCTCACTCTTCCATTTCCAAACTCTGTGATGATGATGAATTTGTCTTGAGTGTCTTAAGGAATTAGCCAGTGCACCTTGGAGGGCAAATATATTTTTTCATTAATAGCTTTCTGTATCTTAAATATATGCAAATATGCTTGAAGGTTCGCAGTATGGAAGAAAGCAGAAGAGATGTGTGCCTTTACAGCAAGGGAATCCATGTGCTGAGGGGTGTGCAACGTGATGCAGCCGCGTGCCTTTGTCATCCAGCTGTTGCTGCTGTGTGTGCTGTGTGCCTGCATGTGCAGAACTCATCAAACACAGGAGACCTTTTGCTCTCAGTAAATCTGCGATGTCCTGTACTGGGATTGGGATGTGCTAACCCTCGCGTAGAATCTTCCCTTTTCTGCTAGATTACAACTTATTAATAACAATAACAATCTTCAGCTGAAACTTTTGCTGTTCTTGCTGCTGTGAACCACGAGGTCAAATGCATTCACAGCTCCCCACCAGCAGGAAGCTCACTTCCATCTCTGCAGGGAACTCTGGCACATGGCAGTGGGGCATCATGAGGACTGTGGAAGTGGCATCTTAAATCTGTGGCAGCATGCTTTGTGTACATGGAGATAAAGCTTGGGCTATGAGATGAAAAGCAGTAAAGCCCTGTCCTGTCTTCAGGGATACAGCTAGAAACTAAACCCCAAACCAGCCACTTTACAGCAGACTACCTCTCTCGGATCATTTTCTTCCTGCTGCAAGAGGAGAAATGGATCATGGTGTAATCATGGGAGACTCTTAAGACCAAAATAGAAGGTGGACTCAAAACCTCTGCAAAGAAAATGTTTGTCTCCCTAATCGTTTTTCGCTTCCATAATGCTTAGTATGATAAAACTATCTTTCCCCTTTATTTTTCAATCGCAATTAGACTTTAATGTTGTTAAAGCTTGTAAGTGACTTTGAGCTACTGTCGCATTGAGGAGGAGATGGAGCTGAAATTGTCAGTGAGGCATCGGACAGGGTTTTTTAATGTGTCTGTCATTGTATGTTAACCTCTGAACCGGGACACGGCGTCTGTTTGAGGGCTGACAACAATTCGGAGGTATACGCCTTGACATCGTGGATAAAGGAAGATGGGGGAGCAGGGACAAAAAATGAATTAATGATGTTAGCAAATATTAGTCCCTGTATTTCCATTCTGTTCAGAAAGAGGTTGTCAGGCTTTGAGGCTGGCTGGAGCAGCATTGTCCATGACAGCCAGTCTAGATGCGATTGTACCTTGACTCGAGCCAAGCTTTTATTGACAAATACAGTGCCGGGAGGTATGGCTGGGGCTGCTCTGCTGTCCCCTCCAGGAGGAGCATGGCTTTTTTTCTGCAGCTCTGCTTGACACTTGAGAACGATGATTCCTTGCTGGAGCTCCCTGCCTTGCTCCAAAATGCATCGGGAGTCAGGGGAGTTGGAAATGCCTCTTAATGAGTACGGCTGCTGCATACAGAAGCTCGCATTTGCCTGTGATTTATGCTAGCTATGGTCACCCAGATCCACCTACCTAAGTTGGCTGTCAGGAGTAATAGTGACTTTGAGATCAGCTGTATGTGTACGTAAGCAGCAAAAAGTCAATGGACAAGAATTAGGGATAAATTAGGAAATTCCAGTGCCTCTTAAGGCATTTTTGCCTTTCTTTATGATCCCTTCCTGGATCTCTTACGTGACACTGCTTGTGCTTTGGCACTTGTGTGCAGTCCTGCAAGAAGATTTGTTGCTGTGCTGCTATGAATTCCTCTACCTGCCTGTGGTTCTTGAGCTGGCACTTCAAGAGTAACCCCTTCACACATGTGGCATGTTGTAGTTTTGCCTTTTTTCTAGCATCTCTTACACGGTCCTGACTGCTGGCATCTATCTCAAATCATGGGAGCAAATTATGGGAGCCCGGGATCACGTTATTCCTTAACTATCATTAGTTACATGTGTATCTGCAGTGCTTTGCACAGCATGCCAGCAAGAAAAGAAATTGAGCTGGCTTAATTGAGAGCTGTATAGTTAATTATTAGTGCCTTTTTAAAGGAAGAGAGAGAATTTGCAATGTCAGGGTTTCATTTCACTGTGGTTTGCAAGGTAACTCACTGGTTGTCATCTGTCTTGGTATGACGTTTGCTTTGCCTCTTCAGCCCCAAGAGCCCTTTTTGTAGACTGTAGAGATGTCAAGAGATGTAAGAACTGCACCAGCCCATTGCAGATCCCTTCAGCTGGTACGAGCAGCACGTAAACCACCAAACGCTTCTTCTTTGTGCTGCAGTGTGGCTTGGAACGAGCAGCAGCTCCTATCCCACTTCTTGCCTGGTTTCTTTGCTCCATCACCCTTGGATTTCGCAAGCACATCCCTGGCAGGCCGGGCAGTACGGATGTTGGCAGCAGGCAGCTGAGCTCAGGGTATAGGCAGGTTGGCAAGGCTGGCTGGAAGGAAACCAATGTGTGCCTGCGTCAAGGCTGAGCTCCCATCGCTCCTGAGAAGGAGAGCTGTTCCAAGCCTGGGCACATTCCCCATGGGAAGCCCAGCCACGGTGATGGATGTTGGAGCACGGTGCTGCTTTTAATGGCTTTGCAGAGCACAGGCACACGCTGAATCCTGAGAGGCTAGCTGAGACATTTGCTGTACATTTTTCATAAATTTGTCCTACGGACTGTGATGGAATAAGCTTGGTTCAACATTCATAGGTTGGGTATTGGGTTCCCTATTTCTGTATGAAGGAGAGGAGGTAAAAGCTGCTTGGACAAAGCAACCTGTATATGGATTAAGAACCAGAGAAGTTGTCATCTGAGCGTTTTTGGGAAAGCCTCTACCATTAAGTTTCCCAGTGGCCTTAGGTGTATTCGATCAGTATGATTAATCTTTGGTGCAAATGCATCGGGTTGCACAAAGGAGGTGAACTTAATCCAAGAAACCTGTTTTACAATTTTTGCCTCTAGGAAGATGAAATCTATTTTCTCAAGTGTTGTTTCTGGCTTTGAAAAAAGCAACCACCCAAAACTGTGGTGGGAAGAGAGGAAAGGACGCAGATTAAAAATGTTCTTCTAGTTTCTGGAGCTGGTTGGGAGTCCATTGGCCCCCAGCATCAAAGAAGGTAGGCTAAGTGTGAGTATAGCTTCATGTCATAGAAATAGCTCTTCATTTCATAAGAATAGCTCTTCATTTCATACGAATAGCTCTCGCATGCAGTAGCAGCTGATCTGAAATTAATTCTCTTTATAAGTGGTGTGGAAATAATTGATGGACAGTAAGGTTCTCTGCTAAATAATTTTTTAAGAGGGGCACTGCACTGAGAAGACTCTAAAGCCCTTTCCCTTCAGGAGAGAACAACTTTGTGTCACCTTTTGCTCTAAATTAGAGAAAGCCAACTTGCCACAGAATGACTTTCATAGCCAATTTCCTTTTCATCTTTTCTTTTAAAGCAATGCTATCTGCAAACCCAAATATTATGGCTTTGGGCTAATACAGGAGAGCTGAAAGGTGGATCTGGTTCAAGCTTGGCAGAATGTAAATGTACTATGGGGAAAAAAATTGTTTAAAACAAAAGCAGCTTAGGGAGCCAGGAAGAAAGGCAACTTAAAGCATTTACTTTAAAAAAAAATCAACATCCTTCTACGTAGAATTGTGATGAGGCAGCACCATTTTTGGTGTAGTCAGCAATGTATTGCATCTACTGAGAGGGGCTAGAGTTGGGCCAGCTTTCCCTCGCTTCTCTGATTTTATTCATCTTGGGTATGATGATCTCTTGTCACAGAAAGCAGAACTGCCCATTGCCAAGGGCACATTGCAATTAATGGGCTATTTTGTAAGGCAGCATTGGCTGAGAATTGCAAACCAGTTTCGAGTGCTCCCCTGGAGAATGGGGTGCCGGATTCTCTAGAGCAAGCAGGGGTCCCTTTGGCCAGCACAAGAGGTTCAGGCTTTCAGACACAGGCTTTTATTCTGTTCTGCAAATCTGGCATGGAGTTAAAGTCAATTGCAGAGCCCGAAGTGCAGGATGCTTTTTGAAGGTAGGCCTGCGGCTGCGTATCGATCAATCATCTCTCTAATTGTTCATTTCTATTATGGTGGGAATCATTCAGAATCCTAGAGTTCCTGGGAGTAAATCATTTGGAAATGCTACCCATTATAAAATTTAATTTTAAATCTATATTAAATAGATTTCCAAAGGCAAGCTTTGCAATCTAGTAACATAACATTATGCCGCTGCACAGCGGTGCGGCTTTGGGTCCTTGGGGGCCATGGCAATGCTTTGGGTCCCTGTTAGCAGGATGGCTGGGCCACCAGGCACACCTCTGGGCTGAGACCATGGCTGTGTGCACAGCAGCATCCATCTGCATCCTCCTCCGGATGGGAAGGGTCACAGATGGGGCTTCCGGAGGGCTGAGCTCATCCATGGGAAAGGTCTGGGAGGTGAACCTGGGAGCCAGGATGCTGGGACCAACCTTTCTTTTTCTTTCAGACGACAGAGAAGAGGGGGAAAGAAAGCAAAACTGCGTTTGGAGGCCCTGTTGTCAGCTCGTTGTATCAAGAAGAAACAATCAGGTGATTATCTGTGCTGGACTTCAGTTGAAAACAGTATTTTTCTCATGTCATCTTGTTAAGCTTTTTTTTCTAATATCGCACAAGTGCGGTGGCAACTACAACAGGATAATAAATGACAGGAAAGAACTTTTCAGGTCCATAATCATTTAAATCAATAACTCTCTGTATCACTGCCAGGTACTAACCTTTCCCTGGTGCGAGATGTGGGGGGAAGGGCAAGGCTTCCCATTTTTCAGTTATATGGCTAAAAAAAGGTAATATTGGCTTTTTTAATAGAAAGCTATTCAGACACCACCTTTCTCAAATAGTTATTTCTTTACCAATATGTTCATTAAGGTCTGTTCAGTGAAGGTTTTAATATTGGACAATGTTTGCCTTCGGGGAGAGCTTGCACCTTATATCAAATTAATTTTTTCTAGGTTCTGCAGCTAGCATAGCAGAAATGCATTTACTGAGCTAGAATGGCTGCTATTTAAAAACTGTCAAAGTGCAAGTACTCAGTGACATTAGCTACTGAATAAGGACAAGTGGGTTTTTTTGCTTGTTTTTTATTGTTCCACACTACTAATCACAGGAGTAGTATTCATTCCAGTATGTAAAGGATTACCTGGAGAATCTTTGAGAATGCAGCATTATTTTTAGTTCAAATGAGCAGGCTAAATGAGAGGGCTAAATGTTTGAGCAGCGTTTGCTTGTCGTGTTGCAGTCACCCATTTATGTGTTTGTGATCCCATTTGTTTTACTGCGTGTCTTGCATCATTTTAGTCTCAGGAAATTAAAAGATAAACACTGATTTCTGTACACACCCTCTCAAGCTTGCTGTGAATTTTCCAAGCCTTCAAACTCTTAACGCAGCATTTCTTTGGCTGGTTGTCACACATGAGTGAAAAGTAAAACGTGAGCAGGTGGCTCCAGCCCCTCTGCAAGGAGATCAGGTAGGAATTGGAGCAGGCAAACACCGCAGCAGCGCTGCACTCAGCTGCAGCGTGGGCACATCCTTCAGCATTGCAGCCCACTCCTGAGCAAGATGGAGCTGTTGGCCAGGAGCAGCCAGGCCTGGAAAGCCATCACATCTTAACGTGCACCTGGACCTTGACCAGACAGGCAGGTGTGACCTTGCTTTAACATACTGCTTGAGGAATAGCCCCTCTGCTAGCCGCAAGCTCCTTTTTCTTCCCTGCTCTGTCAGCGTAGGTCTCAGCCAACATCCTTGATGTCATAACTTGACCTTGTGGTCTAAATTCTATTTGAGCTGCTCATTCAGGAGTTGAGCATATTAGTGCTGCCTTGCATTGAGTGCTGAATGAGATGTTTATTCTTACAGTCCTTTCAGAGTCTTGCCTGAGCAACTTCTGAACATGAAACACAGCACAGTATCCAGAAAAACCAACTTTGCCTCAGCTTGTTTACTCGAAATCTTCTCTTCATATTTTTGTTACTGTATCCATGAGAACATTGCTTGTGGAGGACGTGAAGATGACCACAGCTCCACATAATTTTTCTAGACTTACCATGCAGAGCATACTGTTTGTTTTTGTGTGGCAGTGCTCGGATAGTCGTGGACTGGTATAGCATAGCTGTAATCCTTATAAAACGTGGCTGTGGATGGATGTACTCACTGAACATAGATGGTACAGTGAGATTTTGCTGAAGGTGAGTTGAATAAAATCTCTTGACTTTGTTTGTAGGAGCTTTCACGTGGTCCATTAGCACTATTTGGCCAGTAGGCATCAGTGTCTTCAACTGCAAGTTAGGAAGTGAGGAAGCATCAGCGTCGTCTCATCCACAGGCACAGCCTCACCTCTCTCAGTGCAGTTGCCCATGTACTATGGCTTTTGTCTGGTGTTTGTTCTCTTACTAGAGTAGGGGGTAAATGTCAGCAAGTATAATTGCAACCTACCATAGTTCTAAGTAGCAAAATTGCACTGGTACAAAGTTCGCAAGTAGCTGAGCCTGAGAATGGCTGTAGACATTTAATTTGGAATCCAAGTTTAACTAGAGCATGGAATTGGTTTGGCTTGATAGTACTCAAATGATAAGGCGACTTTAATTGGGTTGGGAGTGCTTACTTACAAGAACATAAGATTCTGTAATACTTGATTGCATTTATAAGCAGTATACTGTCTTAAAAACAAACAAACGAAAGATCCCTCTGAAATATTTCTGTGAAGAAGAAGGAAAATTAAAGTGTTCATTTTCAGTTTGTTGCTCCTAGGGATTCTGAGGGATTCCTAGGGATCCCCTGTAGATAAGAATCCAGGCTTTTGTCTTTGGTTCAAGTGTTAGCTGATGGCTCCTGAGTTGGAAATTGTGTATGGCACAATGCAGTAAAAGGATTTTTAAGTGTTGCACCAAAAGCTGGGAACTTATTTGTAGTTTGAGATTTCATGGGCTTCTACGTGTAAGTAATGTGTTGTTCAAGAGGGAGTTACGAAGTTTTATTGATGGAGGGTTGTAGCATGTTCTAGAAGGCTGAGGGGTGAGAGGAGCAGAATAAGAAAACACCTTGAGCCAGCAAATATTTGCATGTTGGAAGTTACCAGTAAGTGTGAAGCTGTGTGTGGGTGCTGCTTTGTAGCCTGAGATCTGAGGAAGGAAACTTTGCAGACCATCTCATGGACTTGGTTGTCAGTGGTGTGCCTTACTGATGCTTTGCAACAAGCTTGCCAAAATTGAAATATTAATCACTTTGGTCTCTGTTTCCCTTAGCTGGTGGGATAAATATTTTCCAATTATAGAGCCATAGAAATGGAAGCCCAGAATGAGCAAAAGTCTTGTTTTGGCTACTGAAAACAAAAACTCATGTCCTCCTCAGCCCTGGGATCTGACAGACTGCTGAAAGCAATGAATTCCGTAGCAAGCAGCGCTGTGCCAAACGCAGGCTCCCATGTGTCCTTTAGGATTCAGCTGATGCAAAGGCAGAGAAAGGCTGTCCAATTTATCTGGAGCCCAGCATCTTCACAGCCTCACCAGGCACCAGCAGATAGGCAGGAATGCAAGTGCAGAGTTTTGAAGGCTCACCTAAGCAGATTCTCTTAATTTATGCTTACCAGAAGCATCTGAACAGTTGAACAAATGATTACATAGCAGCAGCTGGCAGTAGGTTAACAGGGAGATGAGGGATCTTGTTTTAAGAGTAGTGTAAACCATGAGTTTACTGTCAGCAGTCAATTACAGTGCAGCAGCACTGCTATTGCTTTCAAAGTGAGTTTCTAGAATATACATAAATAATGCTTACATTCCTTCTGTGGAACAAAGTGCTTGGCTTTTAGGGTGCAAATGCTGGGCAAGGGGAAATTGCCATGCCATACCCTGAAGTCAGGTGGATTCGGGGTTGGGACAGCTGGGATGGAGCCAGGGCTGAATTTGCTTTATCACTAATTATCTCAAATGTTTCCACTTTGAGAACATGGTAGGAAAATGGTCAGTCTGGCTCATGTAACCACATTGCAAGGATTCCAAATAAATTCAAGAGCATCCATAGAAACAGGTTATACTGATCTAATTAAATCAATTTAGAGAGAGATTCAGTTAAATCAGTGCAATTTGCGTGTTCATAGATCAATCCTCAAATCAGAAGAAGGTCTCCTGAGCTAATGAGGCGTAGCAGTTATTTACTTTGGGGTGCTGGGCACTGGTCATCAATTAGGAGTCATTAATAAAGCCTGGCAATAAAGAGCTGAAGTACCCCCAGTGACTAATGGGGAACAGTTGCAAAATGTATTAGCATAGTGCTCTGCCTTTGTGTTTCTCTGTAAATCACTTATCTCACTTTGGGCATTAGATAAAAATAGTGTGTGCTGGTGGTGGAACTCGGAGATTTCCCTTGAAGGAGGGTTTGGAAATGATCTGTGGCTTCAGGCTGCTCAGCAGTGGTGGCTGTAGTGTTGGGTTTTTTTCCTGCTGCATAAAGTCTCATGTCTGTTCTTAATGCCCGAATGAAAGCAGTGGTGGCTGAGCTCTTCCATGAACAAATAACTATAATTACAGTTTCGCAAAGCTGGGAAATAAACAGTGGGATGAGGCTGACTGATGTGTCACCAATATAAATCTAAGACGCAGACTGAGGGAGATGCCCAGGAGTGTTGCACAACTGGAAATTTAACTTCAAAGTTCTTTTTAAACATTTTTGAAGGAGAGAAGGAAAAAGAAAAAAAAAGGCAGATTACAAATGTTTCCAGCAAACTTGTCAGATAGCAAATACTGCTGCCAGACATCCACTCCCATTTCCGAGCACAGCAGAGGAGCTGCCTGCGTGTGGACTGTGGCTGCTGGTATGGAATTGAAATCCCTTGGGTGCTCTGAGGTCCCACTGAGCTATGCGATACGCTGTCATCCCAAGGGGTGAAAGGAGCTCTTTTCTGACAAACCACCATGTTTTCCTGCAGCGCTCTGGAGCAGAGGGGACCTGTGTGAGTCCTAAAGCAGGGAGCCCGCTTTAGGAAGCGGGGGCCATTGAGCAGTCAGGTGGTGACCAACACCCCCAGCACTCCTCTTCCCGTCCCCCTGGCGTTTGGAAGCCAGCCCGCTGCCGTGTAATCTATCAGAATTGTATTAATCCCACTAACGCAGCCGCCATCTGGCCCCGCTGCCGGCCGGCTCGCGCGAGCCTCCGTGATGGATGGGCTCTGGAATTGATTAGTTGTTCTGCGAGACAAATGAACTGTTTTGGCAGAAAATACCAGAGGTCGCTGCGTGTGGTCAGGCACAAAGGCTGCTGAATTTTAACGAGCTGCTTCCAGCATCCACGGTGAAGGTGCTACTTCGCTTCGCAGCCTTTTCGGGAGAGCCCGGCGCGTGGCCGGGATTGGTTCCTTCCTTCCAGCCTGCCTCTGGGAATGCCAGCGATGAAACAAGAGCCACGCTGGCGTTAGGTAGGAATGGATGCTCTGTCCATGGTGCTTCCACAACAACCGCCACGTTTGCTCTGGGTTTATGGCTTCCCCAGGGTGGTGACCTTAGGACTGTGCTGGGCAAAGGGCCGGCCTCATTCAGGCCTC